CCTCCAACTCCTGGGCTCAAGCGAGTCTCCCGCCTCTGCCTCCCAAGTAGCTGGGACTACAGGCGCCCGCCCCAACGCCCAGCTATTTTTTGGTTGCAGCTGTCATTGTTTGGCAGGCCCAGGCTAGATTCGAACCCGCCAACTTAGGTGAAGGTCTACTGACTTGAGTTATCTGAAAGTGGACCTTCATTCCAGGCTTCAACCTTCCTGAAGGGCTTCAGTATATGTATAGTCCATATATCAACAGGAATAGACAGCCACATGTAAAAATAGCCTCAACTCAGTAAATCTTTTATTTATTAATTTGTTTGTTTGTTTATTTATGAAACAGGGTCTTGCTCTGTCACCTAGGTACAATCACAGCTCACTGCAGTCTCGATCTCCTGGGCTCAAGCAATCCTCCTACCTCAGCCTCCCAAGAGCTGGGACCACAGGCATAAGCCCAGCCTCATGTGACTTATAAAAAGTACTTCAAGCCCTATGCTTAGAGTTAATTGCAGCAGTCTTGATCCTCTTCAAAGTGTTAAAGTTGCAGTCCAGTCCTACCCATAGAACCTCATAGAATATTTTTGCACACAGGAGTAGTTAGTAACATTGTGACTACTCACTTGGTGTGAACACTTGCCTATTCCTGGGCCTATGAAGACCCAGGAGCATCTGATTGCTTTGCCTCTTGTTGTCATAGGTTTTGAGTGATGAAGTAAAGAGGAAGCAGTATGATGCCTACGGCTCTGCTGGCTTTGATCCTGGGGCCAGCAGCTCTGGGCAGAGCTACTGGAGGGGAGGCCCCACTGTTGACCCTGAGGAGCTGTTTAGGAAGATCTTCGGGGAGTTCTCATCATCTTCTTTTGGAGATTTCCAGGGTGTATTTGATCAGCCTCAGGAAGTAAGTTGCTCATTTTGAAGAATTATTCAAATTATACGCTGTTACATGTGACACAAACAGATTTTTATCAGTTTTTCTTTTGCAGGCAAAACAGCTTAAATGATCTGATTTAAGGCAGCCATTTGGTAGGAAATAATTTCAATATTTGAAAAATCCTATAGGTAATGATGAGTACATCCATTTTGACTATATTCTTAACAGTTGCTTAATCGGGCAACATCTAAGTCTTGGAGAGTTCATAATTAGGGTGTGAGTGTTTTATCTAGAGCCTGCTATGTTATTTTAGGAGAACTCATTCCAGTAGAGAGACACTGCCAATCCTCTTTCCTTCTTTTTTTTTTTTTTGTTTCTGGAGACAGAGTCTTGCTCTGTCACCTGGATTAGAGTGCAGTGGTGTCATTGTAGCTCACTGAAAATTCAAACTCCTGGTCTCAGGCAATCCTCCTGCCTCAGCTTCCCTTGTATCTGGGACTGCAGATGTGCACTACCATGCCTAGAGCTAGTTTTTCAGGGTGTTTTTTTTTTTTTTTTTTTGAGATAGATTTTCACTTTGTCACCCTCAGTAGAGTGCTATGGCATCATAGCTCACAGCAAACTCTTGGGCTCAAGTGATTCTCTTGCCTCAGCCTCCCAAGTAGCTGGGACTACATGTGCCTGCTCCCACACCTGGCTAGTTTTAGAGACGGGGTCTTGCTCCAGATCCACCTGCCTCAGCCTCCCAGAGTGCTAGGATTGCAGGCATGAGCCACCAGTCCTTGCCTTTTTTCAAGGTTTTGTAGAGACAGTCTTGCTCTTGCATAGCTGGTCTCCAACTCCTGACCTCAAATGATCCTCTCACCTCCACCTCCTGGAGTGCTAAGTGAGTCACTGTACCCGGCCTCTTCTTTCTTCAGTCTTGGTAAGATGTGTCAAAGTTGAAGACAGAGGGGAAATAGTTTATGATCTCCATTATGATTGTGGATCATTCAAGCTATTTATAGGTATCATGTACAAATATTGTCCCTTGAACATTTTCAGGTTTTTTTTTTTTGTTTTTTTTTTTTT